GGCAATGCTGGGCTTGCCTAAAGCAGCAGCAGCAGCAGCGAGAGCAGCAGCAGCAGGGACTGCAGCAGATTGTGAGGATGCCGAGACAGAGAAAAGTTTTTGCTGCAGCAGCGGGGCAGCAGCTGCTGCAGCAGCAGCTGCAGCAGCAGCAAAGGACAGCAGCAGCGCTCGACGCGAAGGAAGACACTGCAGCAGCAGACGCAACAGCAACGACAGCAGCAACAGCAACAGCAGCAGGAGCAGCAGCAGCAGCAGCAGCAGCAAAAACCAAATGAGCACCAGAATAGTGAAGACATCCATTAAGCGGCCCGCTGCAGCTTCCTCCGCGTTGACAGACGAACAGCAGCAGCAGCAGCAGCAGCAGCAGGGACTACAGCAGCTGCAGCAGCACCACGGACTGCAGCAGCAGCAGCAGCAGCAGCAGCAGCCCAGGCGGCAAGCAGCCTCGTTGCTGCCTTCCCTTCTCAGCCCTGCTAGCGGCGAGCTGTACGAAGACCCCTGCAGCAGCGACAGCAGCGCATGCAACAGCAAAATTAGCAGCAGCAGCAGCAGCAGCAGCAGAAGCAGCAGCAGCAGCAGCAGCAGTGGATGCGCTCAACTGAAGTGCAGCAGCAACTTCGATAGCAGCAGCAACTGCAGCAAGAAGCGCAACGGCCGCTGCAGCAGATGGAAGCAAACTCACGCATACCATGGCGTGTATAGCGCAGCAGCAGCAGCAGCTGCTGCTGCAACAGCAGCAGCAGCAGCAACAGCAACGAATACAGAAGCAGAAAAAGTAGCAGCAGCGACAGAAACAGAAGCAGCAGCAGCACCGATGCAACCGCCAGCCAAACAGCAGCAGCAGCAGCAGCAGCAGCAAGGCGGCCGCACGTTGCTGCAGCAGCACTGGCAGCAGCACCCCGGGTGCTTCGAGGGTCCTGTAGATTCAAAGCAGCAGCAAAAGCAGCAGCAGCAGCAGCAGCAGCAGCAGCCCAAGCAACAGCAGCAGCAGCAGGAACAGCAGCAGCAACAGCAGCAAAAGCAGCAGCTGCTGCTGCTGCCTCCCGTTGCACCGTTTGCTGTTGCTGGGCTCTCACCAGCAGAAGCTGCTGCTGCGATGCATGCGCTATATTTGGGGTGTATGTACAGCTCAGCATTGGCTCTCCAGCTCTGCTGCAGTCGCAGCACCCTGCAGCAGTTGCTGCTGCTGCTGCTGCTGCCACAGCAGCACGAAAGATTGGCCGTTGCTGCAGCAAAGCTGCTGCTGCTGCTGCTCCGCAGACACCCGGCTGTCTCGCTGCTGCTGCTGCAGGAGGCGGCGCTGCCGATCTGCTGCGCTGCTGCATGCAGGTTTGCTTCGACCCCTCCCAGCAGCAGCAGCAGCAGCAGCAGCAGGAACAGCAGCAGCAGCAGCAGCAGCAGCGCAGCAGCAGCAGCAGCAGCAGCAGGGGCTTCAGGGTTTGCTGCGAGAGTTGCTGCATGCAAGCTGCTGCGGCGCATCGCAGCAACACTGAATGCCTTTCATATTAAACCCAGCAGCGGGA